AACCGAACTGTATCCGTCGGTTCTCAATTCAGATATCCGTTCGGGTATTTAATTTGACAAAAATCGTCGGGTTCGATTCGGGAGATTTGCCCAGCCCTCAAAATGGGTATCAAACAAGGTTAAATTGAAAGGTGGACTTCCAATTTCATTTTCCATGGAATTCTACCTTCAATCAAACACACCCTTACTTTCTTTTTGAGTTAACTCTTACCTTGCAGTAGTAATAATTAGCTTATTTCGAGCTTTTATGGTTTTACCAACAACAACAAACTAAACCTTACTTCCAGCTTTTATCGTATTACCAATAAAAGAAATATTTATTTCGAGGCTTGCTTATTTATTTATAAGTAAAACTTTTTAAGCTTAGCCAAACATGCTTTCCACCTGTGGATTCAAAGGGTTTAAAAGAAACGGGTGAAAATTGAGAAGCAAATAAACCGCACATCAGAACCTTGAAGAGTGAATTCATGAAACATTAATCCAAAGGTATACAATTATAGTTACAAGCCAAACAATATAAATAATATTCACAAAAATTTGATCAAAAAAATACCGGAAATCAAGAAGGTAAGAATAACGAAGCAAGAGCAGTTATTGTCTCGGGCACACACCGGTCTTCCGTTTTCTGTCCTCATATAATCCGCTCTTGGGAAACCCTGTTCTCTTGGAAAGCCTCCGGAGTATTTCCAATTTCTTTTCGAAAACGGCTCCGGTGGAGACTCTTCATTCTCCTCGTACACCAGTGTATCCGATGCTGATGCATTACCGGAATATTCCTCGTTCCTAGATTCCGATGATGAGGGAATCTTATCTAATTGGTCCAGTTTTTCCATTCTTGAATAACAAAGGGATCAAAACACAAGAATTGAGGGTTTTGGAGGAGGAAAGAATGTTAAACGTAATTAATTAATGGTGTATTTTACCTGTGAAATCCATGGAAGATTATGTGACGGCCCATCAGTCTTGTCGGAGGCTTTGGGTGTACGACTGGTCGATAGCATGAAGAAACTAGCGACAGTTAGGTAGGTTGAAATTGCCTCCGGTTGCTCGGTACTTTTTAATGTGACAATTTCATTGGGCTTTTCGAGTTAAATTAAACCCATGTTTGGCCCCCATTTTGTAGAAAAATTAATGGGTAAAATAGTGTGTTTTTTAAAATAAGTGATTGAAAAAAAAGGAAAAGTTTTCGATTTACGTGTAATATTATTTTATAGAAAAGTGTGTGGTTGAAAATATGAGAGAGAAAAATGAAATGTAATAAAATGAAAATTAATGGGGACCAAACGAGTGCTAATTGAGCCAATAACTAAATTGGAAAATGCTATATGTATACAATTCATCTATTTACACCACTCTCACATGGAGAGGTCCATACACAATAAAATATTTGTTAGTCACTTCATGTGAAAGGGGTGTAATGTATAGATGTACACATAGCATTTTTCTAATTAAATTTTGATAAAACTCGATAAAAATATGGTTTAAATAATAGTTGATTTTCACCTACTTAATGGAGGACTCGTCAAAATTTGGTAGGAGCTTAGGCCTGTTTGAGTCGCATTATTTCAAGAAAATACATTTTTAAATAGTAATTTGACATAATTTCAATCAGATTTTTTTCAATAAAATAATATTACACGTAAATCTAATTTTTTTTAACCAAACTTTCTCTTGCAATATACTATTTTAAAATACATTCTTTAAAAAATAACGTGGCTCAAAACACAGAAATGTCAACCAAATTATCATGATTGACGTACATATAGCATTATTCTATAGTTATTCTTCAATAATAATATGCCATGTCATGGCGAGGAAACCCCCCCCCTCCCAATTGGAAAAGGATTATGGTAGTTGTACACCATGCTTGTATAGCATGGTGACAACAAGCATGGTTGATTGGAAAAACACTCAAGCTATTTGTACAAAAATTTCTCACATAATTTGATCAGATTACTCTCACGAACCAAGCTCTACGTACAGGAGCTCGGTTCACATGGGACGTACAGACCCCTCACTGTAGGGGGTCTGACCCCACAGCAACTAAAGAAAAAAGGTGGGGCCCGCCCCCATCTCCTCTCACTTCTGACAGGGGCATGTGAACCAGGAGGAAATGGTGGGCAATGGCTGCCCCACCCGGTATATTTATCAAAATAGCCTTTGACCAAGTTTTAAAAAAAAAAAAAAAAA